AAAAAAAAAACATTTAAAAATCGTTCTGAATCGATTAACGAGGATTAGGCACTGATTCTATCTCAGACACTTGTACTCGCTTTTCACCGCACACCTCCCCGTGACACACATCTTCACTGTCGTCAGTCCGTCGGAAGCTCTCGAATGACGCCGTCGTCGGATGTTTCTATTATCTAATTTGTTGTGAAAAACACTACTTATATATGAATAAATAGATATTTTTTCTTATGAATAAATAGATTAGTTTTTTTATCAAAAAACTTTATTTATGCCAGTACTATTTATTGTTGGCAAGAAAAAATTTTGTGGCTCTTTAAAAACTTTGAAATTTTGTAAATTGTAATTTTGGCTCTTCCGACTCAAAAGGTTGCCGACCCCTGGTATAGTATATTAGTATATCAATGTTAAGCTTAACAAAAATTTTTTTAAAATAATAATCGTTGCTATTGTATCATTAAAAATTAGAAAATTAAGCCTCATTTAAATACTGGTTCTCTTTCATGGTCGAGCCAGTGTTGCCAGTTAAAACACACAAAAAATAATATTAAAGTAGCCAAGACATAGCCAAATATTGTAGTGCCACATCACTAGCAGACATTTGAATTTGCCGACTAGAACGTGGTCGGTTAACCAATGTGACAGTTGATTGGGGGTCAGATAATCAATGCTCTACTGTAATTTATATTCTTGGTATTAATTTCCATGGTTTGCAAAGAAACTGAACAACATAATTTTAATTTTCTCAATTGATTGCTAATTTGAATTACTGTAAAGGGTTTTTTGGATTAGTGAAAAATTCAAATTAACAGGATGACATGTAAAGGAAAAAGAAAAGGACTAAAGACAAACACATGTATTTAAAATAAGTTTTTAAAAATATTTATATTAAAATGTATCATATCCTACATAATAATTTTACAAATTTGTTATGTTTTAAAAAATAATTGTTATTTTCTTTTTGTGTTTGGATGGAACATTCAATAGAAAAATTAACAAAAATGGTTTGGAGTATCAGGAGTGTGCTGTAGTTGTATTTAGCAGAATTACTGAAAAAAGTCTGCCATTATTTTTAATCTATTCATTTATTTTGATTAGACAAACGTTAAAGATAGAAGTTATTATATTGAATTCTATAAATGTAAAAATAAGTAAAGCAAAATCTAGTTACTTTTAATTGAAATTTCTGTACAATATAAATTTAGTGACATATCTCAATAAAATGTTAATAAAATTAATTTGTTTCAGGTAATTAATATTGGTTCATCATATAACTATGGAAATGAAAATCATGCAGAATTTTTGTGTGTAGTTTCTCGTGAATATTCAGGTTCTAGTTCACTTGCATCGGAACGTGAGTTTGAACCAACTGATCGAGCTAAGGTATAGTATTGATTTATTAATTTTTCTAGCATAATGCATTCATTTGGTACACAGGTAAAAGAATAATAATCCATAAGCCATAAATAATATATGACTTATTTTGATAACTTAAGAAATTTTATTTTAATTAATTCTTTGCAAATATTCTTCGATTAGTATACTTCTAGTCTGCAGCTGCAGAATTAAAATTTATTATTATTTTAACACTTGTAACTAAATATTTAGAAATTTAAATAATGATTAATAATAAAATTTAATTATAATTTTTATCATACATTAATATATTACATTAAAAGTAATGAGAGAAAGAATTAACTGTATTTTTTTTATTTTAGTATATAAAGTAAGATTTGCTGATGACAATATATTTAATAAATTTGTTTATTAATGTTTTATAGGTTTTACAACAAAAGAATGTTCGTATGTAAAAATTTTTAAATATACAAGGTTGCTACAATTTGTGCAGGCATCTGTGATATTGATGGGTAATTCCAAAACAAACAAATATAGTCAACAGTTACTGCAACCCATCAGTACTAGTCCAGCACCCACATGTGTAATCTTACATCATGTCTTCTTTTGCAATTTATTACTGTTTTGTTTGAATATAGCATAAATGTGATGTTTAGATTAGTTTATCATAAATTGTTTTCTCAAACCATAAACATCTGAACATCTTTGTACTGTACATCATCCCATCTTGATGCAGAAAAAAGTATTTTAGAACATTCCTATTAACATGGAATCATTCCCAATGTTTTCAGTTGATTTATTAATTAGTCTTATCTCGTTTATAAAATATATCAGTTTTATAAAACTGAAAATACTGTTATTATGATTCCATACTTCAAGTGGCATTTATATGAAAAATAAATAATAATAAAAAATATATATATATATATATATATTAATCCAGATATTCCAGATATCCATATTGTTTTTGTTTTTATTATAAACATAATATTTTGGAAAGTGTGGGTAAAATATTTGTTGTCCGTCTTGATTGATTTGGTTATATTTCATCCAGGCAGTCAGAGTTGAGTATTTATAGCACTTTGTGAAGTGTTAGTTTCAGTTTCNAAAGTTTACTAGCAGTCAAATTAAATGTGCAAAAGCTTATAGGTTTTGCATAAACATATACCTTTTAATGTTATATTAAAAAATATGTAATAATAATCATTATAAGCTTTTGATATTTAAGATAATTCATACTTAGTTACTAGATTTTATTTTAATTATTGCATTTTAGCTTTACTATGATAATTGTGAAATATAATTTATAATAAATATTAGTTGAAAATTTGATAAACAAAGTTTTATATTTATTTTGTTTTAGGATTCTAAGAAACATGTATACAGAGTATTACAATGCCGTGAAAATGAACTTACTCAAATGGTATCCACCATGTCAGATGGTTGGAAGTTTGAACAAGTATGTTAATTAAATTTAAAATTATAGATATAATAATTGATACTTATAAATGATGTGATTTATATGCTTACATTATTTGATTATATCAACTTTCAATTTTATTTCATTAATTATCTTTTTAACATTATTTCAATTAATCTGAATTGTAATTAAAAACATTTAAATCTTTCTTACAATTTATATCTTGAAACTTAACTGTATTAAAAGATTATATATCAATTTATATTTGCCTGCAGACTGAAACAAATATTTTAAAATAATTCAAATGAAACTGATAATTTAATTTTAAAATTATTATTTATTAAGTTAATTTTAAAATTAACTTAATAAATAAAAAGATATTTCTTGGATTTCAGAAATTAGTTGTTGTATAAACTGATTATTGATTAAAACAGTTGAATACATCCATAAAACCTTTCTAAGTAAATAGCTTCTGAAATTTCGTATAAATAGAGCTTGAAATGGAAAATAATGAAACATTTATTTTTGTAAATTGATGAAAAGTTGTTAATCAATAGTGAAGATATATTAAATTTATATTACATTACAGCATCGATTATCCAACTGAATTGGGGACTGGGGTTGGTTGGACAACTGAAAAAACGGATAACCGAAAAATATGAAAAAATACATTATTAGTATAGTACAGGGGTCAGCAACCTGCGGCTCACGAGCCACATGCGGCTCTTTGGATGTGAAGCTGCGGCTCTTTAGTTCCATACGCAAATATTATTTATTTTATCAAAAAAAAAAAAAAATTAAAAATCGTTCTGAATCGATTAACGAGGATTAGGCACCGATTCTATCTCTCAGCCACTTGTACTCGCTTTTCACCGCACCCCTCCCCCGTGACACGCGTCGTCACTGTCGTCAGTCCGTCGGAAGCTCTCGAATGACGCCGTCGTCGGATGTTTCTATTATCTAATTTGTTGTGAAAAACACTACTTATATATGAATAAATAGATATTTTTTCTTATGAATAAATAGATTAGTTTTTTTATCAAAAAACTTTATTTATGCCAGTACTATTTATTGTTGGCAAGAAAAAATTTTGTGGCTCTTTAAAAACTTTGAAATTTTGTAAATTGTAATTTTGGCTCTTCCGACTCAAAAGGTTGCCGACCCCTGGTATAGTATATTAGTATATCAATGTTAAGCTTAACAAAAATTTTTTTAAAATAATAATCGTTGCTATTGTATCATTAAAAATTAGAAAATTAAGCCTCATTTAAATACTGGTTCTCTTTCATGGTCGAGCCAGTGTTGCCAGTTAAAACACACAAAAAATAATATTAAAGTAGCCAAGACATAGCCAAATATTGTAGTGCCACATCACTAGCAGACATTTGAATTTGCCGACTAGAACGTGGTCGGTTAACCAATGTGACAGTTGATTGGGGGTCAGATAATCAATGCTCTACTGTAATTTATATTCTTGGTATTAATTTCCATGGTTTGCAAAGAAACTGAACAACATAATTTTAATTTTCTCAATTGATTGCTAATTTGAATTACTGTAAAGGGTTTTTTGGATTAGTGAAAAATTCAAATTAACAGGATGACATGTAAAGGAAAAAGAAAAGGACTAAAGACAAACACATGTATTTAAAATAAGTTTTTAAAAATATTTATATTAAAATGTATCATATCCTACATAATAATTTTACAAATTTGTTATGTTTTAAAAAATAATTGTTATTTTCTTTTTGTGTTTGGATGGAACATTCAATAGAAAAATTAACAAAAATGGTTTGGAGTATCAGGAGTGTGCTGTAGTTGTATTTAGCAGAATTACTGAAAAAAGTCTGCCATTATTTTTAATCTATTCATTTATTTTGATTAGACAAACGTTAAAGATAGAAGTTATTATATTGAATTCTATAAATGTAAAAATAAGTAAAGCAAAATCTAGTTACTTTTAATTGAAATTTCTGTACAATATAAATTTAGTGACATATCTCAATAAAATGTTAATAAAATTAATTTGTTTCAGGTAATTAATATTGGTTCATCATATAACTATGGAAATGAAAATCATGCAGAATTTTTGTGTGTAGTTTCTCGTGAATATTCAGGTTCTAGTTCACTTGCATCGGAACGTGAGTTTGAACCAACTGATCGAGCTAAGGTATAGTATTGATTTATTAATTTTTCTAGCATAATGCATTCATTTGGTACACAGGTAAAAGAATAATAATCCATAAGCCATAAATAATATATGACTTATTTTGATAACTTAAGAAATTTTATTTTAATTAATTCTTTGCAAATATTCTTCGATTAGTATACTTCTAGTCTGCAGCTGCAGAATTAAAATTTATTATTATTTTAACACTTGTAACTAAATATTTAGAAATTTAAATAATGATTAATAATAAAATTTAATTATAATTTTTATCATACATTAATATATTACATTAAAAGTAATGAGAGAAAGAATTAACTGTATTTTTTTTATTTTAGTATATAAAGTAAGATTTGCTGATGACAATATATTTAATAAATTTGTTTATTAATGTTTTATAGGTTTTACAACAAAAGAATGTTCGTATGTAAAAATTTTTAAATATACAAGGTTGCTACAATTTGTGCAGGCATCTGTGATATTGATGGGTAATTCCAAAACAAACAAATATAGTCAACAGTTACTGCAACCCATCAGTACTAGTCCAGCACCCACATGTGTAATCTTACATCATGTCTTCTTTTGCAATTTATTACTGTTTTGTTTGAATATAGCATAAATGTGATGTTTAGATTAGTTTATCATAAATTGTTTTCTCAAACCATAAACATCTGAACATCTTTGTACTGTACATCATCCCATCTTGATGCAGAAAAAAGTATTTTAGAACATTCCTATTAACATGGAATCATTCCCAATGTTTTCAGTTGATTTATTAATTAGTCTTATCTCGTTTATAAAATATATCAGTTTTATAAAACTGAAAATACTGTTATTATGATTCCATACTTCAAGTGGCATTTATATGAAAAATAAATAATAATAAAAAATATATATATATATGTATAGTTCAGAACTTTCTGAAATTAGTATTAAACTGAGGATAATTTTGCATTCATCTACACATCATATATTGCCCACTTCAAATGATTGTACCTGTATAGAAGCATTGACATTCTCAAAGTATCACCTAATACAATCAATCCATCCTTATGAGTAATGTGTTAATATTTTGCAGTTTGCCAACAATTTATTAAAACATCATTTACTTACAGCATTGTAAGAAAAAATGTACATAGTATACCTGTATACAGATGCCATTACTTAAAATATTTCGTAATGTTCCATACATATTCAATAGTTTTGTGATACATTGTTCAAAAATAAATTTAGTTAAAACTAATTCAGTTATTTATTATTTTTATTATTATTATTTTGTAAACATTGTTATTAATGAAAGTTACTTTGAAACAAAATAATTGTATACAGTGTACATGGCAGTTTTTTTCGTAATATTATGTTGTAAATGTCTATTAAAAGTAATTTGATGTTGTAGATAAAGATACCACTCTGCCAATGTATGTGCAGTGTGTTCTATATGCATACTGTTGTGTGTTGTATATAATGTGTATAATGGAACAGTATTTTGTGTTATTCATATGTGGGACTTTCTTTCATTATTGTGATGAAAAAAATTTCCACTTCTGTTCCTCTTTTAAATAGATTTTTGTGTGTCTTTATGCAAATAGTTGCTATTAGGGATAAATCAAATTTGAAATTTGTCATCATATTTGGGAGCATTTGGTAAATGTAATCATGTATGTTGTTTAATTTGGTAGCAATAAGACTTTTTTCATGATATAATCATTAAATATAAAGAAAGACATAGTTTTTGGAGGATCGGGGCCAATGGAAGAAAAGATTCTTTAATAAGGCTATATCTTTCTTTATCTTGCTAACTTTTTACATTTTGAAAAGTGTAATTTTAAGTGGCAATTATATCTCTTGCGGGTTTATGTGTAAGAAATAACAGTCTTTTCCCAATATCTTGCCATTGTTTTTCAATTTAAAAATGAATTGATGTATTATTCAATTAACATCATTTTTGTAAAATGTTGTCTAGTCACCTTCATACATCCCGTTTTTTGATGTTAAGAAATTTATTGCAAAAAATAAATATTAGTTACACTTCATTTGAATGCATCTTAATGAAAAAATAAACATTTATTACAAAAACACAAATGTTAAAGTTGACAAATAGAAATGCCCAATTAGAATATCTCTTTATTGAAATATTTTTGAAAAATAAGATAATTAACAACTCTACTACAGTTAATAATGTGTTACATAAATTATCATCCAAATTATCAATTAAAATCTCCAAACTTCTTGGGTTAACTTTCTGCTAATTTTTAATTAATTAATATAATGAAAATTAGACAAAAAAATATAGGAGTTGATGATAATCTGGCTAATTTACTTGACATTTAATAATTATATTTTAAAAAAATACTAGTACATAAGATATTTTATTTTGGTTTTCTTAAAGGATTTATAACATAAAAATGCATTAAAATCATAAAATTATACAAACTAATGTAGTATTTCAGGTATTTTTAATTTTATTTTTTAAGATATAAATGTTGTATAAAGTTTTGTTCTTGATAGAAATATGTTAGGCTTGAAATTTTTGCATTTAAAAATTTTTCTTATAAAGAAAAAACAAGGATAATTGTCTCCAAGTTGTATGTATTTACAATTTGGAGACATGCTATATTATGATTTCAATTACTTCTTATCCTAATTTTTTGTGAATAATCCATGTGTTATCTGTGTTTAACTGGGTTTGGAAACAAGTGAGGATTACCTAACAATTTTCACTTGCAATTATGAAATCCAACAGCTTTTCCTTTACCTAAACCTATTAAGAGCATCTGTAAAAAACATAAAAATTTATGTACCACATATGTCTGCTATCACCATTATAGTTCTTTCCCATTTTCTGTATGCTAATCCATGTTTTAATTGATATTATAAATTTTTATCTGAAAAACTAATAAATTTCCAGTAATTCTAATACTCTACATAATAACTCAGAAAATTACAGTGTAGAAGGCAACTGTCAATTTTGAAAGATGCTAGATCTAGAATGTAAAAATTGTACAAGATGTAGTAATAGGATCTATCTATGAGAATAATTAGAACATCAACATAAAGTTATAAAAATATCAAAAACTAGATTACATGTTTTATCATCAATTACAGTTACTCAGATGTTATACTTCCTCTAGAATATGCACAAAGATGATCCAAGAATAAACATTAAAGGGAACGTTTTATTCCTCCATAAGGGTGATAAGATGGCTTTTTTTAATTTATGTAATGAAATAAATAACAAAAGTTTTATCACTTTAATAATTGCTTAAACTACATAAACAACATAAAAATATAACAAATTGAAAAAAATACGAACATTATTTTAAAGAAGTAATGAGGCACCTGTTAGCAATAAAATACTTACTAGGGATTTTCCTTCTGGCTTAGTGTTCATCAGTGGCCAAGTGGATAAAATCACTGAACACTGATAGTTGGTTGCAGTTAGCACTTCACCAGCAGAAGGCCACAAGACATTTTACAAAGTTTTCTTCATGTCTAATACCTAAGAGCTGGTTTTCCACAGAAAGTTCTCCTGAGAGGTATTCTCACTTGGCAGATCATCCATTCTTGCTGGATTTTCACATGCCAAACTGGAAAAGGTGATGGAAGCATCCCTCACCTCCCCCCATTACAATTCATCATACTTAAATTTCATATAACACAAGATTTAGTAATTACAATGAGAAAATAATGTGCACACAAAGAATAATTAGCCACTAACTCAAGGTATACAGTACAAGGGTATCCTGTCTTTGGGAGGCAGTATAGGTGCATTGGAATAGAAAGAAGAAACTGATAGTAGTGCAGTCATCACACTAGTGCTGGATGTCAAGGTCAAACTAGCTACAGCCATCTTTCTTGGCTCAGTAATTCTGAAAGTTGCTCTTCCATATTTCCAATTTACATAAATTTGATACATTTCCTCTAACTGGAACAAAATTACAAATCAGCCAGGATGCTGGGTGTCTGAAACCTGGACATCTTGCAAGCCTACGTGTTGCATTTCATTCCCATCAAACCAAATCCTGTCACCTCTGGATGTATCCTTGAATAATAATGTATCAGTAATTGAGAACTAAACGATCAATGATCAACTCTCGAACCCATGTAATTACACATTATACTGTACATATTAAATTTTTTCTATTTCACAAATAGAATATAGGAGTTTTTTTTATGGTTCATACAAAATTTCATGAATTACAATCTAAATTTTACTATTATTGAGTCTTTAATAATTTAATTACAACTAAACAGATCTCATATTGTTAAAGGATCAATTACTGGATGAGTTTTACCAAAGAATTTTTAATGTAATCTAAAATGACGGCTGCATTCAGTAAACTCTACAGTTCTAATTGAGCGAGATGCAGTAGCAGTAACTGATATGAATATGCTAAAAGCAGTTTTGCTCACCTTCTGTTGTGAAAACCCTCTAAACAGACCTGAAATTTCCCCTAAAAATTAAAACAAGTTCCCCCTAATTAGTTTTACTGCAGGTGCAATGTATATCCAAATAATAATAGTTTTTTGACAATCCAGAGGAAAAAATTTCACTTTAGTGTGCAGGCATCATGGGCACATTTGAGCTTAAATCATGCAATGAAGCTACCTGCTTTTGATCTTGCTGCAAAAACAGTCATGAGTCATGCAACTTTTTTCATCTCTGAAACTCCACTAACCAATATGGACAGACATGGATGTCTGCAGAAAATTTTCCAGGGGAGCAAAGCTTGAAAACAAATAATTACATCAATAAATTTTTATTTATTTATTTAAGCTTACCATTGAAATAAATAAAAAATTAATTTGCTCAAACTTCAAAACATTGTTTTTAAAACTTTTTTGATGGCAAATATCGTTTATTTGACAATCTATAATACAATTATCTTGCACATGTTAATTAATAAAAAAAGTACTTATAATTATTCAAATATTTAAAATTTTTGAGTTAGCTCCCTTTGGGTTCTTCTGGATCCTCTACTGGCTGAAAGTCTGGATGTTTTTTTGACAATTCTGCATCACATCCAGCACTTTTCTGTTTTGTTACAACATTTTCCTGTCCAGCTGTCCAAGACATTTCAAATCAAATAGAAAGGACTAAATGATGAGAGAAATTGTGATAGAGTGGCTGTCATTTCTCATCTTCTACTCCTTTCTGTTTGATTTTCATTCAATTTTTAATTTTGTAATGTCTATATATTCCTGAAACATCTTGGTTTGACAATTTTTTCAATTACCAGGAGTTTCTTGCAATCTCCACTCATACTTGTGCCTAACAGAATTATTAGTTGTTCTTTTGCTACTTTGATACCAGAGTATGACTCATCTTTACAGAACAAAAGCAATCCTGTTTTGTCTGCATTTTAAAATATTTTCTGAAGAATAATCATGATAATACTGACCAGATGGCCGAAGCAGTTAATGTCCTAAAAACATTTGTCTAAAAAAAGCTTCTTAAATGTAAACAGATCATGTTTTTTCTTAAGAAAGTTGAGTACATTATCAAACAATAAAATGCCACCTTGGGACAAAAATCTTTAAGGCAAAATTATTTCAATTATTCACGATGAAAATTTATTACTATTCAACTCTAATAAATCTGGTTTCTCTGTATATAATCATTAATAAACCATTACTTATATTAACTCTTAAATCATCACTCTCTTGGATCTGTTAGAGGGAAAATAGAACAATCTTATACATTTGGCTATCGAATTTTTACAATTCAGTGCTGAACACGAAATCATTTTTAAAATATATAAATGTAACAAATAATCAACTAATTGAGATCGAAAGAAACAAACAACCAGATTCGCTCTAAAAACACCGTACACACCGAAAGACTCAATATGGCGACTGCTGCGATGCATCACAGTATCGTGTCCAGACCTTGTATTTATAGATCTTGAAGTAGGGCGGATGGGCGTGGCGCTTAAAGCCGCACGTAATAGTAGTCATTTTGAACACTTGATTCACGCGAATGAAGTGTTCAATGTGACCACTATTACGTGTGGCAACTTTTTCTACGCGAATTATTATGTTGCTCACTCGATGGCATATATTCTCAGTTGTCGCTTTACAAGGCTGAATGATTGACGCAGTCAATGTGGCAACCTGGGGGACCCGGGATCGAATCCGGACGGGTCGAAAAATCTCCAGGAACTTTTCAGGGGGAAGTCAGTCCGGATATTTCAGGTCCCGTCCCATTGTGGGCCTGGCCGAAACCACCGAACCCATAATAAGCTTGCTAAAAAAAAGGGCTTCTTAGTGCTCATAGGAAGGAATTTTAAAAAATTATAATGAATAGAGAGTCTGCGGCCGAAGTTCAAACTTTAAACTTGTACAGCAAGTAGAAGTACACGTTTGACATTTGAACTCCAAGCGAAACACATTGCGCCAGACGTTTACGTCGCACAATGACTCATGGAATGATTATTATCTTCTCAAATTACTGGAGTAATTAAATACAAACAGAAACTTTTTAACCAGTAACAAAACTTTAACAAAAATTCGGTTCATGGGATATTGTTCAAAAATGACGGAAACTTTTAAAAACGACGAATGTTACCAGAGAAGGTGAATAAACAAATTATACTATTTTAAAATATTTAGAGGATGTTTAATAACGCTAAATAATTATTTTTGGCTTTAATTAGCTTCGTGTCTCCTACCGTAAGATACAGTAGGAAAATTCCAATGCGTTTTTCCTGTTGTCACGACAACAGGAAGTAGTGGCTATGAATGCGGATGAAAATCCGAAAGCTGCTTGGAAAAATATATCTGAAAATTTACAAACATATTACACTGTCGACGATAGAAGATGCGTGAAAGAACAAATTTACTTCTACAGTATTATGACAAGTATTAACTTTTGGGTAGTAGACGGCCATCTTGCCTCAGATATAGATCTACCCCAGGGGTGGCCAACAGTTTTTGCCCCCGGGCCGAATTGGAAAGAAAACTTTTTCCACTGGTCGAACCAGAGGCTGCCCTAGGAAGATTTTGAGGTGGTGCGAGATCTCATTGTGGTGTCACCCCGTAGAGACTAAATTGCACATAGAGATTACAGATACATTTTTCACATTATCATGCTTTATGAACATTCTACGCTGTACTTACGAGATTTTTAATGGAGGGTTAACTCTAAACGCACAGTCAGTTGTTGACCTTTTTTTGGCGTCAGAATTTTTTATCGAGCTATTCGGACTTGAGTAGCTAATATTGAAAGATTGATCGCGGGTGATATAAATTCATTACACGGGCCGTATATTGGCCATGCCTGACCTACTGTATTTTTAAATTATTTTAAATATAGTATAGATCTGTTAAAACAGTTTTCTTTTCAGAATGATCAAGCCAGTTTACGAAAATCTGGAACAGAAGAGGAATTTACAGAATGTAATTAACTTCTGCAAGAAATAAAGGATTTAAAATATGAAGCCCGGATAACAACTGAGAAAACAACACCACAAGCTATTGCTGGGCAGCAAGTCGGGGATGCGGCCACATCCGGTAAATATAAAAACTTAAAACTTTTTTATACAATTACTGCAAAAATTGTATAATAATTATACATTTCTAAAAATATATTATTTTTAGATGAAGATACCAATTTCTCAAAAAAAAAAAAAAAAAAGTGGAGTGTGGCTATGTCGGGACACGGCCATGTGTTTTACGTGAATACGCGTACGTTAACGAGTAATATTTTATTTGAGCGTATTATATGTATGTCATAATCATAGTCAGAAGTCCTTCGGATCTTCGTGTTTTTTTACGTTCCCGGCACTGCTTTACTCTATCATATGGTGTTTTATAGGTATCACTGGATTGCTCTTGAGAAGCCCTTTCCAACCGTATACGATTTCTATATTTTGATTTGGCTTTTCGACGAGTATAGGCCGACATCGTATTAAGTTTTCTTAATTTTTAACTTTAACACCATATTTATTCACCATAACTATTCCACACTAATGTTTTGTGTACGCAATCGATAAATATTGACGAGAGCTGTAAATTGAAACTCAAACGAGCGTCGTAGCTTCTCCGAGTCAAAATGTATACTGAACGGAAAGTATGTAACGCGACGAAACGACCTCAAAATGGCGGCTCTTCCCCCTCCGCCGCGCACGATGTGTCACAGTCCCAACTCAACGTAATGAATTCTTTGATCCTTTAACTATCGAATGGTGTAATTAAATTTTGGATGTAGATGATAGATATGTAGCTTCAATGCCAAACTGTATCCCCCCGATTTTCTTATCGTCAGTTTTTTGAATTGCCTCCCACTACGGAAGCAAATTTAAAGACGTATTCACGTCAAAAAGAAAACAAAACTTTCTAATATCATACTTACAAAGCAAGCAAGATAACAGCTTCAGTTGAAACAAGAATAATTAAATTTAAAGAAAGAACAACTGCAGGTAGAGTTGAAAAGACTGAAACTGGAAGAAGAGGAAAGAAGATTGTTATTAGAATTACTCATGAAAATTTTGAATAAAAACTAAGTTTTTATAAAATTGAAATTTTTTTATTTATTTATTGATTACATTCTAACTATTTGTCCAATTTGGGGGATAAACAATTAAAATAATCTGATGTTGCACCGTATAAGCGTGACAGTTTGTAAGTACTGTAGCGCAGTAACTATATACAGTTTACCAACAGGCTCAAGAAACAATTTCAATTTTTTGTTTTTTTGAATCTTGAAAAGTAAATATTTGAATTATTTTCCCAAATACCTATTCCACACACTCTCTTACTGAACTCACCCTTGAATTAAATACTTGTTGCTCGGGTATTAAACTAGCACCTCGAAATGGTATAATGAGGTGTTGACGCAAAGGATAACCAAAATTACCATATAAAACAAATTAGATCCCAAGGAATCGCAGCCAAATGCTCTAACAATTAGATTCTCTTAACATTCCACGTCGTGATATCTTCCTAATAATGGTCCAAATAAATTAGCAATCATACCATCGGATGTAACTACTGATTGAAATTTTAAACGATGTGTACTGTACGTTTATGGCCACCGAATACCACTCTTTGATATATAGGACAAACAGGAAGTGCCGTTCCATGTATGAACTCCCAACAATTTGTCAAAGGAGCACCTTTTGCTGTTATTATTTGGCTAAATAATTTTAATTTTTTTCTTGTTAGTTTTATTTCGTCGATATTCAATAACAATTTGGAATGGTTATTGTAAATGATATTTAGTATTTCATGTATAGATCGTGAAATTTCAATTTTTGTTCTTCCCAACAAAACAGAAATGTCATCAAGTCTATTAGAATAAACTAATCTTCGTAAAAAAAAATACATAATGCATCAATTCCAAGTGAGCGTGATCCATTTAATAGAGAGGTTGCGGCCAACGTTTTCAATGCAAATACGTGTACGTCGGACGCTTGGCGCCGCCTTCCCGTAAGCCTATAAGTTTCACAATGACATATGGAACGTCAGTGGAATTATACTCGACGTTCCAAACGCCATTGTCAAACTTCTAGACTTCCAAGATGGCGGCGCTCGACGTTCGACGTTCACGTTTTAGAGATGAAAACTTCGGCCGCAACCTCTCTAATTTTAGAAATATTATATATATTTAAAATATATATAAATAATAAAATAAAAATAAGCACGATTAATTTATAAAGTACTGTACGTAAATTCCTATTTATATAATAAAATAAAAATATTTAAGGAAAAATGTTAATTTTTAAGAAAGTGGCAGAAGTAGAGGGCGTTTCGTATTGTTATCGTTTCGACACGTGTAGAAGGTATTGCTTTCAGAGAATGATTTTCTTGTAATTATAAGAATACAGTATAAAAAATTTAACTAACATTCCATTGATTTACAAAATAAATATCCTTTGATAAATATGTCTAGCGAAATTTTATTTTCACGAATTACGCAGCATTATCTCTGCATGTCATCCCTTAAAAATTTAATCGAATTACTTACATTTTCGGTAAGTTTTAGTCCATCAGATTTAAAATAATTATCATTAAATGCTTTAATATTGCTTACAGAACAATTTTATTTGTTGAAAATACAGGATAATCCACATAATGCAATCCCTTTTGGAATCATTTATAGTAATAATCAACTGATAGCATTATGAGAAGCAAGGCAATAAAATTACAGTTAATGGAAGTTCTGATTTCATTAAACCTGACATTATAAAGAGATGTTAAACAATTAAAAAAGATTTGGAAGATTTATAATTATTACTATTGATTAATAATTATTCATCCAGTTTTGTTTGCTTGCTTTTTTTGCAGTAATTTGTTAGTAAAATACTCATATTTATAATGCTGTTATAGGATGCAACAATATTTAAATCCCTGGTTAAATATCTGCCATCTGTTGTTGTTTATTGTGCAAAAATACAGCTTAAAAATTCCAATTTATCTAAAAACAAATTATAACTGTAACTAAGAATCTAATTACAATAAGTGAAGCATTTTAACTTATATATTTTGGGATCTGTTAATTCTGATAATCAGTGACACACTCAAGATTTAATCTTGGGGGAGCCAAGTTGGATGGCTAAAAATATGTTTAATGAAAACTCAATAAAATTCCCATCTTATGTGACCACTAATTCATAAATAATATAGAAATAGAACACCTGACACAATATAAATAAAAAAATGAATTTTAATTAGGAAAATATTTTTGGAAAATTTACTAGTGTTTCTTATCCTTTTACTTTGAAGTGACAAGGCCTCTTTGACCATCCCCTGAATGTGCCACTGCTGATAACATTATATAACTAATATTAATCTCTTATTAAAATAAGTGGATTATACTATATTATCAATTACAATATGATGTAGTTTTTCATTTTTGAAGTTTAAGTAAAACTGAAGATGACTTAAAGTAGGTCAAAAGTGTTTCTATTTTAATAAATATATTTTTGATTCCAGAAAAAGCAATTGAATTTACAAACTATATTTTTATATTTATTATAAAATATAACTTTATTTTATTTAAATGGCAGTTAGATGAGAAAACTCAAGATTCTCTTTTATCTGCAACTGTATTTCATCCGTTAGCAGTGAAATTTCCTCCGTCGTGTTCGTATTCTAGAAAATATTTGAAATGTCTAATGCAAAAGGTGTATTTTCAATTTACGATGTTTTCCTTATTTAAGTAGTTATTATAAAGCATCATAATTTTCAGTTATTTGATTTTGATTACGGAATATATAAATAATAATAATAATAA